CCGCAAGCCGGACCGAAACGACACCTAGACCTATTCTTAGGGACTGCGTAGGTAGACTGAAACCTTTTCGGGCTTATATACTCCTACTATAAATGGATATGTTAGCCAGCTTTGGCTAGGGTACTCGGGCCTTAATTAGGTTTATCCTCCCCGTATCTGACTCTACCTCGACCTCTCTCTCTCTCTCTCTCTTGCTTTCTCTCTCCAGTGCATCTATACATCTACCTGTCTATCGAGCGGTCTATGTTTCTTCGATCTTTGTGGTTTTTGTTTTAGCCAGATTTTCATCGCTATCTGTGCATCTGTGTCTCTGTCTGAGCATCTGTCGATCTGTCTATCAAGCTCCCTATCTGTCTATCTATCTGTCATCCCGCCTGTCTATGGACAGAGGAAGAGAGAGAGAGAGAGAGAGAGAGAGAGAGAGAGAGAGAGAGAGAGATATAGAGAGAGAGAGAGAGAGAAAACATGAGATCTTTCGAGATCGTTGCAATCGAAGCCTTTGTGCAAGGAGGAGCAGTTCAAAGCCATTGAGCCGGTGCCTGAGTCCTTCATGCGACAGCGTGGGGAGGGCTGATTCCTGCGGCATGGGCAATTGAAGTGAAGCGCTAAGGCAGTGTGGTCGCAGGGACCAGAAAATGCGAGTTGTACGCATACATCCCGTATACGAAGTCGACCCCAAAGCCCTATTCTAACTAATTGCTAAGGCCCCTGTGTCAGAATCCAAAGTACCCCTTGTGAAACTTTTCAAGCCCTGTAATTGACGGAACCCGTAAGGGAAGCCAAGTCCTTCTCGCCAGGGTTCTTACATTTCTCCTCGGGGTAGTGCTGACTTGCGAGGGTAGCCTTAAAGTTGGACCCTGAAAGCAAAGTAAACTGGATTCTATCACTAATCATCCTAAGCCCTTGTTTTTTTCGGGGATCGTTGAAGCCGCTTCTGGCTCGTAGTCGGCATCCATGGGTTGCCTTTTGTCGGGTCGAATCAGGGGTTGAACCCAGCAAGACCCTAAAAACCCCAACCTGAACCTTCGAAGGCACAACAATACAGGTCTCTAAGTATCATCGCGTAGCCATGCCCCGATTCCTATACCCTCTACACCCTCAAGCCCTAATCAACGAACCACTAATCTCAGCAAGCAAGACAAAAGAACACACGAGGTAAAAATCGAGCAGCCCTCTTGCAGCCACCCTGACACGCCAATCTCAGTTGTAGAACCCTGATGGAAGCCTTGAGGAAGCCTTTCAGGATGCAGGGCTCAGGGTAAACATCTTCAGCTCTAAACCCTTGCACCTTAAATGGCTTCCTTAGTATGATGATATCCTTATATAAGTCCTTAGACAGGTAGGTTGTTTCGGGGTAAACCCCACAGCACCCTTTTGCAGCCATGATCCCCCAAACCTAAACCCTTAACCCTTAAACCATCTTAGAACCCCAGAAACCCTAAAACCCTAGAAACCCTGGAACCCGAACAGCCTTAAAAACCCTAAACCCTAAGCCTTCACCCTTTTTTGCAGCCATGATCCGCATCGTTTCCGTGTCCGGCGAGCCTCTCGCCAGCCTCGACCCTGAGATCCTCGTGGCCAGGATGCAGCAAGTCCCTAAGGGTCCTTGGGCTGATGGTATAAATCCTTTAAAGGCGTCTATAGGGAATCTCTCATACTTGGGGCAAGTTCTCAGGGGTACTTATTATAATCCCTAAGAAACAGCTAAAATCATAATTGTTGCTAGGGTTCTAAGTTCAGTATAGAGTCCCTAAAGAGTCTTCATACGGCTGATGATATAAACCCTGGGGTTCCTTTACAGGGATCCTTAAGGGTACCCTTTAAAGGGTCCCTACAGTAGAAGCCCAAATGTTGGAAACCCCAATATCCTCACTCCTTAAGAGTAATGCAAAGGGAATCCCGGCACTATTTGGCCTTAATCGGGTTTCCAACTTTAAGGGGTTTGATATAAGGGTCCTAGGGCTGATGATATAAATCCTATAGGGGTTCCTTTAAGGGGATCTATAAGGGTACCGTTTAAGGGGTTCCTTTCAGGGATCTATAGGCTTTTAGGGTTTAGGGTTTAGGGTTGATGATATAAATCCTGCATTACCTTAATGACCCTAGACTATGGGGCATTATGGTATATTCCTCAATATGAGTAATGCAGGATTTATATCATCACCCGAAGTAGTCCTGTTATACGGCTTCAGGACTTCGGGGTTCAGGATTTTTGGAGCTGTGGGTTTAGGTTTGGAACCCTATGGGCCCACTGTAGGCGGGAAACCCCAAAATGGGAGTTTCCGGAATTAGGGGTGCCATTTTTGGGGGGTCCTTTTTATAAGGATCCTACTATATTTCGGATACTATATTAGGGTCTCCCTCTTTTCGGAAACTCCCAAATAGACGTTATAATGAACCTACAAGACAATAGGTGCTGATAGTTCCCGTAGTCCTTATGTGAGGTTGTTGGTAGCCCAAAAGTCTTATGATATTGAGTACTTGGGAGTGTTGAAGCGGGAACACGTTAGTTACACTGTGTTAAAGGGGATCTATAAGGTGTACTACAAGGGTTCTAGTACCTTACCTATAACTGCTTATATAGTAGTTTTAGGGTTTCGGGTTTGGGGTTTGGGCTTTCCCGCATGTTTTTGCAAGAGTTGCGCATTTTTTTTGCGAAAGAGCCCTATATCAGTAATGTGCTAAAACAGTTCCTCTAAACAGCTACCAAGAGGTCCTATAAAGATTGGCGTTTACGGCTTGAGGGTTTGAAGGGTAAGTAGGATCTGCGCGGTGAGCCTTGGATTTCATCATTGCTGGTTGAAGGTTCATGGCTAGATGCAAGCTTGGTACCGCTGATGATCCAAGTCGTGCATTTCCTCAAATTGAGGACTTTACCACAGTTCCCATAGTCTAGGGTCATCAAGCTAATGCAGGCTTAATATCACTAACCGTAAAACCAGCTTCGGCTTCAACTTTGTAGTAGAGCAGACCCCGATAAGCCCACAAATCCCTACGCCTCGACTCAAACTTATATGTCAACCGAAACCCAGCAACCTGCATAGCCCAAACTCTACGCACTAACCCCAGACCGGTTGAGCACCCCGAACCCCAATCCGTAAACGCCGTCAAGCTCTAGTCTAAACCCTACCTTAACCTACCAAAACCTACAAAAAAGTAGGGCCCCTACAAATTCCATATTAGTGTTTATAATAAGAACCTACAAAAAAGTAGGGTTTGGTAGTTTAAGGTAGACCCCAAACCCCAAGGCTAAGTCCCCAAGCCCCCCAAACCCGCAATCCAGGCAGCTTCCCCCCTGGGCTTCGCTGCTGCTGTGATCCTCGGCGTCTCCTTTATTTGTAAGTTCGGGACCTTTGGGTTCAAGGTTGTGTGTGTGTGTGTTTTTGTTTTTTTTTGGGGGGTGGGGTAGGGATTGGCATGTTTTGGGGTTGAGGGATATAACCTAAACCTTAAACCCCTAAAAGCTAAACTTAACCCGTAAACCCTATAACCCCTAAACTCCCTAAACCCTATTCCTTAAACCTAAACCCTAAACCTAACCTGCAAGCTTTATCACCCCTAAACCCTAAATTCAGGGCAGAGGAGTTGACGTGCAGGGTGTTGGGCTACCAGCGCTCTAGGCGCCGTTTCAAAGGCTTGGCCCGTTATCATTCCTTAGGCTCCTTGGAAAAATGCTTATGTATAGGGTTTTCGGATTTAGGGGTTGAGGGAATGTATAGTACAAGCTACCCAGAAGCCTTCTTCTAACAAAGTGTGCAGTTACACAAAGAGCCTGGAAGACCTTGACCAACACGTAATTCTCAGAGGCGAGAAGGCTTGCGAGGTTTTTGTGGTTCCTACTCTCCTTCGCAACACAACCTCGACTGCCCGAAACCTAAACTCTCACTCTCAATCAAACTCCTGGAACTTAATCCTGGGTGCTGCATGCAGTCAGAGTAGAAAGGCACCCATAGAAGAGAGCGCTGTGTCTCTCTCTCTCTCTCTCTCTCTCTCTCTCTCTCTCTCTCTCTCTCTCTCTCTCAACATATGAAAAATATGTTTATGCATATATATATATATATATATATGAAAAAGTACATCGGGACTGGTGGAGGGCCTTGTGCATACATACATGTATACATACACGCGCGCACACACACGGAAATGATAATACGACCGCATAGTTGTTGTATGCTCTTTGTTGTCATCAGCGTTGTCAGCACGTGTGTGCTCGCATTGTTTCCATGGTATTGTAATTCTCGTTCTGCTGATGTTTGCAACCATTGCTCTAGCTACTATGACAACTGATATACTGTATTGCCCTTGTCCGCTCTGTCTTATGATATACGACATGATTGTATGCGATGTGAGACCCCTCTGTTGCATGGTTCGGCATGGGCCATGGGTGGGCAGCTTACACATACTCTGGCAATGACGCTCCCTGCCCTGCCTGGTGTACTACCAAGTTCTCAGAAATTCCGACAGGGTTGGTGGCCATAAACCCTAAGTTCCAAGCCCTAATAATGCGCTGAGCCCCACTTCATGGTTCGTGCATGTTCGGGGTTCAGGGCATCTTGGAGCTATGCCCCATGTAGCATCCTAGCACCATCGCATAATCTAGAGATCAAACCCGAGAGAATCTTGACAGGCACGCCTGCCAGATAAACAGATGTGTGTGTGTGTGTGTGCGATAAACATACACTCTAATATGCTGCAAAATACGGTAATATGCTCTAACATAAAATACTATATACTATATAAACCATAGCAGAAACTCCCACGTTTCAAACTCTGCTCTGGGCCTTCTCACAGTTCGGATCAGGAAGTTAGCAGGAGCCCAACCCCTAAACTCGAAGAAACCCCAATCTATAAAGGTCCTAAGCCCCAAAACTCTCAACCTTCAAGCCTAAAACCACCGAAACCCAAAGAAGGCCTTTGTAACAGCCGAAAAGCTGTACTGCAAGCTGCAAAACCCTAAGCCTTTGTGCGAGCCTCCGTGACGTTTGGAAAGGAAAGAGTCGATGGAAGATCGGCACCGTGGTGTAATTGTTACTATTATTACTATTATTACGATTATCACTATTATTTATTATTACTATTATCATTATTATCATGATTACTACTATTATTACTATTATGAATAGGCGTCTTACCTAAACCCCAAAAGTAGGTAAAATAATGGCCCAACACCTATAAAAGGCTATTAGTCTACGTACTTTTGGGGTCCAGGTAATACTTACCTCTACGATTCCTTAGAGATACTTCAAAGGGCTTTTTAAAAGGGGTCTTCAAGGGATCTATAGAAGGGTTCTATATCAGGGGCCTTAATGATTACCTATACTATTTTGGGGGTTCCTTATTAGAAGTATAGTATACTGTGCCCCAAATCCGTATTATCACGGCCCCTACATTAGGGTTCGGGCTCTAGATTTAATTCAGGTTTTGGATTTGACGAAGCAAACGTTTGGGTGGGTTGAAGGCGTGGCATTTCGGGGTTTAGAGTTTGCCAGGTTTAGGACCGTTTGCAGGTAGGAGTTGGGGCAGATGCTGTGGACTGTGGAGGCAGAAGAAACCCTTCCGATTTCGTGTTTGCTGTTCGGGTTTTGCGGTTTGGTCTTTGCGCTTTCGCTTGGAGATTGGTCCTTGCAATACTTGCTGGTTTTGATGCAGCCTTCTAGATCTTAAGGCTGAGATTTTAAATCTGCTTCCCGGATTTGTGCAGGAGATGCTGTTGTCGAAAGGCTTCTTCTGCCGCGTTTCTGCGGGCGCAAATCATGGAAGGCTCTTCCGACAGGACTGCGCAGACAAGATAAGATCGGCAGGATCACCCTGTTGAACAGGAACACAAGCACCCTCTGGCCGCGACTGTCCAGACGCAGACACGATTCCTCGCATATCTTTCAGCCTGGCAGTTCGGGTGGAGATCACCTCAGCAAGGATTCGGCCCCGTGCGTCCGATGAGCGTTGGATCCCTCCGACTTACAGGCCACCAGCAGACATCAAGAAGCCATTTGTCAACGACGAGTCGGATTGCCTGGCTTGAAATGGAATCCTATACGATCGGCTCGTCGACTCTTTTCCCGTGCGCCTTCAGTGCCTGGCATTTTGCGAGCCCCAAGTCCTATAGTAGAAGCCCCAAAATTGGAAACCCAATAGTATAGCCTCAATCCTTAAGAGTACTGTATAAGGAATCCCAGCACGAATTGTCCTTCATCCCGGTTTCCAGCCTTTTGCGGCTTCATGTAGGAACCTGATGAAGAAACCCTGGGCCTACAACCGCAATCTAGTAGGATTCATAATATAAAGAGCCCTAACAAAGGCCCAAGGTTTCTTAATCAGGTTCCTACATTAGTCTAAACCTTCAACATCCCCACCACGCTGAAGACCTGAGACTGAAGCTGGGGAAACCCAATCGGCCCCACAGCTTTTCGAAGCCCCTAGCCCTACTTGTTCAGACCTGGATATGGTATGTTAGGGTTCGGGGTTAAGGTTTAGCAAACTACTCAACCTGAAACCCTAAATCCGAAAACCCATGCAAACCCTAAACTTTCAACCCTAATCCCTAAACTCCCAAACCTATGTACACCCTTAGAGGCTGACCGTGCCGGCCTTCCGACAGAGGCTCCTGGCCCCAAACGGAGCGGGGCTTAGATTTGCTTTTGCTCATGTTTAGGGCTTAGCTGGGTTGTCCTTTGGGATTTTTTTAATTTCCCCTACTATGTTGTAAAGAACGATAATAGTAAATAATTTCAAGGGGCTTAAAGGACAACTCAGCTAGGGTATCTTACAAATGTGTAGGGTTAAGGGCTTAGGGTATGGGCATCGGGTCTATCGGGTTCCGGAGTCTAAGGGGTTTTGTGGGTTTTGGGTCTCATTGGTAGGGCAGTTTGGAGTTTGGGGTTTAAAGAGGTTTTGGGTTCAGGTGTAGTTTTACGGTACTTCAGGACAGGGTTTGGGGGGTATCTGCAGGGTTCCGGTGTTCAAAGTTTTAGGTTTGTAAGCAACATCAGTGCTGCTGTTCAACAATGCTGTTATTGCTGAAAGTCGAGCATGCGTTAGTCTCGTTGTTGTGCTGCCATTGTTGATGTTGCAGTCGCCGTTGCCGCTGTTGTTGTTTTCGCGGACGTTGCTGCGGCTGATATCAGGGCTTTTGTCGTGAGCGACCGGGGTGCTATTGTTCACAAGGGCCACTATCCGAAAGTACGCCCGATAGTATGCCCTTAAGCGTCGCTACAGCATAGATGTAGGTAGTATAGAAATAGATAGGGATATAATTAGGTATGGCTAGTATAGATGTGAATTTAAATACTGGCACAGCCAGATTTATGGATACAGACACAGATGTAGAGATAGAGATTGGTCCAGACATAGATTCAGACATAGAACGAGGTGTAGTTACAGATAAAGTTATACATCTGAGCATAGGCGTATGGCTATTACAACGAATGATAAGACCAAGAAAAGCAAGAGTAGTGATGTCATGTAAACCAGAATGCCGATATGCACAACCCTGAGGCTCTAAGGACTCGTATGTTAAGGCTTGTGGGCCCAAAGACCATACAATATAAGGCGTTTGGGCTATTTTGAGCCTTGGGGCAAGAGACTTGAAAACAAAAAAACCTAAGAGTGGGTGCAGTCGTAAGTTACTGTGCTTGCTCTGCCTGGTGGTCTCCACCACTCCTGGCCTGTGTGGCCTTGTCCTAGTAGACGGGATCTGCGAGGGTAAAAAGGAGTTCAAAAAAACCTTAAACCCACAACAAATTGCCGAATCAGGAGGCGGCCTGGTACCCGAGGAGGCCTCCTACGACCAGCTTGGCAAGCCGGAAGAACTCCAGGTGCGGGGCTTTCTGGGTCCCTCTTAACCCTTACTTGGAAGGGCAGGGGACTTAGTAAGTAGGTTATAAGTAGGGTTATAATTGGGGCAACTCCATTTAGGGTACTTATAACTCTACTTATAACCTACTTACTAAGTCCCCTGCCCTTCCAAGTAGGCTCTAAGGACTCATATTTTAAGGCTTTTGGGCCCAAAGACCATACTATATGAGGTTTTTGGGCTATTTTGAGCCTTAGGGTGAGCGTTCCTATGAGTGCCCCTGCACCCCGTAGAGCTCCCTCTTAAATTCTTAAATAGCAGTTCCTAAACCCTGAGGCCTCAGGAGTTCCTAAAAGGGCTGCCACACTGGTCCCTCTTAAGTGTTCCTATAAGGGATCCTAACGTCATGTCATGACCTGATAACGAGTACGATAAGAAGATCCAGCATACAACTGCTGCTTAAACCCCAAACCCCTGCACCCTAAACCCCACACCCCTAAACCCATCAATGCCTTACTTTTAGTGCTATCAGGGCTCTACCCTAAGCACTAAGCCGTTAAGCCCTGAACCCTCTAAAACTTCGCAAAAGGGTCTTAACCCTGAAACCCGAAACATTGCCGTGGCTCCTTGAGAGCGCCTCTAAGCGGTTTAGAATGGGTCTACCAGAACGGTTCAGGTCTTGGGCTTTTCGGGGTTTAGGGGTTCCTTGGAGAGATCTATGGGGTTTTACCGACCTAAGGCTTTGGGTTCAAATTAGAACCCTTACGGCTTGTGGTGCTTGACTCGACATTTCGTGGTTTAAGGTGGAGGGGTTTGGAGGTTCAGGTTGCAAGGTTGATAGCCGGCCAACTGAATTGTCTTAGGGTTTAGCCAGGACATTGCGATACTGGAGCGGGTAGATCCGCAGGGTCCAGCCAAGAAATTCCGGCCGGCTCTGACCCTACGCAGATTAAACCCCAAACCCTAAACCCTAATCCCTAAACCAAGCCCTAAACCCTAAACCCCAAACTCTAAGCCCTTAACGCTTATATGAGCATCCGTCAAAACTTCCGTAATTGTAGTCAAGAGTAGGGTGACCGTGGAATGTCGGATTTTGCCAATTTCCGTGGAAAGACATATAGGACCCCCCAAAAGCGATACGATTAATGAGGATCCGCGGTATTTGTGCCTAGATTTTCCGTGTGATATATGGCTAGGCAATCGATACCCTAATCGATACCCAATCGATACCCTAATCGATACCTACTAGATCGTTTTATGAGCTACTGCCCCTCAGGGCAAGCTACGAGTAGGATCAGTGAGTCTGATGGTCTTCTTACTTTCACAAGAGCAAAGCGATACCTCACAGAAACATGTGACGGAATCCTTGTAAAGCGATAGGACCCCCCAAATCGTCCATGGTCTAGCCATGAACAAGAAGTTTTGACAGACGCTCATATAACCCTAAACCGTACCAAACCGTGAAGTCTCATACCCTGCCCCAAAAGGATGAAACCGCGAGACCCTGAGCCGAGCACTCCTCAGCCCGTACTCCGAATATCTTTGGGAACCCTGTTTCGACTCCTATGTTTTAAGGGAAGCATATTGGCTGTAAACTCAACTTTTCAACTTTTGGGGCTCTTATAAGGTAATCGATTCTGAAAGTTTCAACTTTATTTCCTTTGGTTTTGGGCCAGTGAGGAAGCCTAAACCTGAAACCCTGAGCTCATGTTGTGATCCAGGAACCCTACAAACCTTTATAAAGAAATTCACAGAAGCCTGTAAGCAAAATCTGCACGACCCCGAATGCGAATGAAACCCTCGAAACCTCAACCCTAAACCCTATAGGACCGAAAAACCTGTACAGTGGAAGCCCAAAAGTTGGAAACCCCATAGCTTCAATCCTTCAGAGTAATGGGAATCCCGGCACTATTTGTCCTTCATCCGGTTTCCAACTTTATGGGGTTTACTGTAAGAGCTCACCCTGAACCCTCTAAACCCTAAACCCCTAACGTCCTAAACCGTAAAGCCCTACCTCAACCGTTTCTAAGGACTCGGATAAGAGATCATATTAAGGAAACAGGGTCCATCTAGACCCCAAAACCTCTGAGAGCTCACCCCAAGTATTTCCATGAACCTACAGCCCTGTAAACCCCAAACCCCTCAAAATAGTAGGTTATGACCCCTTAAGTAGAGGGTGTAACCCTCAAAACAGTAGGGTTTTGGGGATCCCTCGGAAAGCCCTATAAACCCCACTTGGGGGCCCAAGGGAGTTAGTAAGTAGGTTATAAGTAGGGTTATAAGTACCCTATATGGAGTTACCCCAATTCTAACCCTACTTATAACCTACTTACTAAGTCTCCTGGGCCGCCAAGCACAACATCTGAGAGCTCAGTTGGTGATCCTGCCCTGCGGCCACGGCTCAGAGGAGCAGCTCTTGCATGCTGCAGACAAAGGCGCGACGGACCTGAAAGAGGTAAGGGCTCCTTTTGGGGTTTAGGGTTCCGGGTTTTGGGGTTTAGGGTAAGGGCTCCTTTGGGGGTTTAGGGTTAAGGGTTAAGGGTTTAGGGTTTGGGGTTAAGGGTTAAGGGTTAAGGGTTTGGCTTCCTTCACGTTTAAAGCTCCTCCAAGGTGCAACGGGATCTAGAGTTGTCCTATAGTGGTTTAGGGGGTTGGGGTCGCAGACCTTCAGAGATTTAAATCTTGGACATGGGGTTTAGGGTTTAGGCGCTTCGTCGCTATGCTAGAAGGCCGTGGTACCATAAGAAAAAAAAGGTTTTCTTTGCTCAGGTTTTTTGGGGTTTAGGCTTTGCAAAACCCTAAATCCCTAAACCCAAGAATCCGAAACCCTAAGCCCTAACCTTGGCCCTAAACCCTAAAACCCTCATCCGTAGAATCCGAAACCTTAAGCCCTAAACCCTGAAACCTTAATCCTCAAATCTGAACCCTACACTGAACCCGTCAGGCGACCTTGCCTCACTCAGCCAGCTTCTCGATCTTCCAGCGGAGCCGAACTGTCGGGACTCGCAGGGGAAGACGCCCCTCATGAAGGCCGTGGCTTCGTGTTTTTCGGGTTTAGTTTGGGGTTCGGGGCTTAGGGGGTTCATGGTATATGGGGTTTAGGGTCTAGGTTTTGAGGTTTAGGTTTCAGTTTCACAATGTCAAAGAACTCCTGGCTTCCCGGAAAGCTTCCCGATTTATAGCTGTGGGGCTTCAGGATTTTCAGGGCCTACGAAGTGTAGTGCGTTCTTGGAGTTTCGATTCATGACGACACTGTGTGTTCAGGTTTGAGGGGTTAGGGGTTGAGTTTAGAATAACTTTACAAGTGGCATTGCGGTGCTTAGCCTACAGCTTGGGTCCTTCATGTTCGGGTTTGAGACTGAGGGTTTGGGCACGGCTAGCTCAAGCTCCCAACACCAACCTTTGTGCAGCATCCCTGTCTATATTTCCTGCCGGGAATATCAGTTTGAACGCGCAAAAAGTAGGCGATGGCAAGCACGACTTTAGAGTTCACAGTTGAGGCTCCGGATTCTGGGAATGGGAATCAGCAGCGGTGGGACCCAATCGGGGTTTGGGGAGCCTGCAGGTTTTACTGTCCCAAATTTGTGTTTCTGTAGGCTTGGTTTTTAGGCCAGAGCCAAGGTTTCTAAAACGGCTGACGGAGAGGGAACACTAAGCCCTAATCCCTGAGCCTACAAGACCCATGACCTAAAAATCCTGAAGCCACCGATGCAAACCTATGCCCTGAACCCCTAAGCCTTAAACCCACTTAGGCCCTACAATCTCGAAGCCACCGATGCAAACCCCTAAACCCTAAACGGCTGATCTTTTTCTTGCAAGAAGGGTTACTCTCCAACCCTTCGGTCATATAGCCGGCTGTTGGGGTGTTTTCTCTCAGAGAACATTGGGTTCAGGGTTTATGGTTCAGGATGTTTTGGGTTCAGGGTTTAGGGCTCAGAGAGAGAATGTTTAGTGTTCAGGGTTTAGGGTTTAGGGAACAGGGTTCAGAGTAGTGTTCAAACAAAGAGGTGCCAATTTCGGACAACCTGCAAGCGGCTTTCTCTGGTTTCTCGAAACAAGTCGGCATCAATACAGTGTCCTGGGACACAGGGAACAATGACGCGTCCGAGGCTTTGATGGAGGTGGCGGATCAACTTGTTGTACTCAGCTTCGTATTCTACCAGTTCTTCTTGTTTCCTACCCGGGCATCGTCGACTGGGAGACCATCGATGCAGGAGTACAAAGTACCCAATGTAGTTCGGCACCCTAGCGAAACACGGACCCCAAAAGGGACCCTAGTTTAGAGAACTACCCCAATATAGATTGGACTCTGAGTGGGGGAGGAGTTCCAACACTGAGTTGCTAGTGGTAGTTCTATAGTACTCCTTCATAACCCTTCGTCTTGCAGATCCTCAGCCCAAAACCCTGCATCCTAAACCCTAAATAGGCCTTGAATCCCAAGCCCCACCGCGGCCTTCAGCCCAAGATCTTACACCTCCAGTCCACAGGAGTTTCCGACGTGAGCGAAATTCGAATGTCGACCTTCGTTGGTAGGAGACTGATCCTATGATAATCAACCCCATTATGGTACCCCTTATAGTAAACTAAGGGTTTAACACAGATCAAGCTTCTAGAAGCATCGGAGTTGTTCAGCACACTTGTATTGAATATGTTGTTCTTATGGTTTGTAACAAGTCAAGGAACTGGGAGTCAGATACCATTGGACAACATTCCAATGTGAAGCAGGTCTAATTACAAAAACTCAGCACGGTTCTGTGCAATCGAAAGGCAAGTGCCAAAGGGCATATGAAGAGTGTGCAGCTCCTGCTGAAGGCTGGTGTGTTTTGGAAGCTGGAGTCGAACCTGGAGCGGTTCAGGGTATAGGGTCTTGTAGGGACCTTAATGGTTAGAATAGTTTTTTTTTTTTTTTGTTTGTGGGGGGTCCTTGTTTCAATTATAGTATACTGTACCCCTCAAACCCTATTCTAACCATTAAGATCCCTACATTGCAGGGTTCGATCCGGATCATTTAGAGTTGTGTGTCACTTCGACATGGGTGCCAGACTGGTAAGCATACTATGTTCCTGGCTGACCAAAGCTCGCAGTGCCGCACAATGTCCTAGTCTTTCAGCGAAGTTGCTTCATAAGCTCCGGAGTTGAAGCCTCGGACTAAGAAGCTGGATGTGGATGTCAGAAAGTCAACAAGGATCATCTTGTCTTTCGGCCGTTTTAGGCCGGCTTAGTGAGTCGGGGATTGCAAATTCAGAGCGAAAAAATGGGGCCTGCTACCACCGAAAGCCTTGCCAGGGTTTTGGAGCGCAGGGTCTAGGTATTTTGCAAACCCGAAACCCTCAATGCAGCCTTCCGTGCGTTTTAATCGGAGGGGTCAGATCCTTGGCCTTGCCGCAGGGTTTCAGGTGCAAGGGCAGTGGGGTTTAGGCTTTCGGGTCCAGATCTTAGGGCTTTAGGACTTGTACAAGTCTTACTTCCACTATCTGCACCGGAGCTTGCTCTACCCATAGGCCCCATAGTATATAGTTCCTTTTTGGGATTACCCTATAGGATTCTATATACGAACCCCAAAAGGAACTACTTTGGGGCCTTTGGGTAGCATGCCTGCTGTATTCTTTAACCCGGCTTGGAGTCTTTCTTGCTTCCGAGCCCCTGTTTTTCGGGATGGCATGTTCGGAACCAGGGTTCGGATAAGGTACTATAGGGGCCTTACTAATTACCTGGGCCCCAAAACCATACTCTTATTATTAAGGCCCCTATATTACCTATTGTAACACTGCTTGCCATAGTAAGTACATGAGATGAACGACTCTGATGCGCTGAAGCCCGAAACGCCTAACGTAGATGAGATCCGACACCCGACACCGTGAGATCAGCTTCTCCTTGGTTCCTTGCTTGGCCTAAACCCCAGACCGCCTTCGTTTCTTGCCATGGCCCGGCCTGGCGAAACCCTGAACCCTAGAAGGGTTTAGGGTTTAGGGGTTTAGGGTTTAGGTGTTTAGGGTTTAAGGGTTTAGGGGTCTAGGGTTTAAGGTTTAGGTGTTTAGGGTTTAGGGGTTTAGACCTCAGGCAGGGGCAGATGCGACCATGGCCGATTTCTCTGGGACGACTCCAGCGCCTGGGTGGCTACCAATTTTCATCCCTCACACACGCACTAACGGAAGCCGCACTGAGGGTTTCTGGAGTTAGGGCATCTAGGACACCCGCAGTGGAAGCCCACCGCCGAGGGTTGAAGGGTTTAGGGCACTTAGGGTTCAGGTTCAGAATATAACCTTTAACCTTTTTTGGGTAGTTTAGCCCCTAGATAATCCCTATAACAAAAAGGTTAACCTTTAGTTCCCATGATACCCGACAAGTAGGTATGGGTTTGAGAGATTCTGGTTGACAGGCTGGGTACAGGATGCTACAGCAGTGCTCTGAGCAGCAGTTCCGTTGCTGAAGCATTGGCATTCAGTTAGATGATGCCTGGCGAATATATGTGTATGGCACCACCCAGCCCCCACCCTAGGATAAAATCTATTTTAAGATCTCAGCCCCAATACTCGGATAATCCACCCCAGATCCCAACCGAAGTTACCATCCTTGGACTAATACTTACTTCGATCCATACGCCTAGTTTGGCAAGGGGGTATCGTAGAGTTTGGTTCAGGGTTTGGAGCTGAGGGTAAACCTAGTGTTTTAGCTTCTCGGATTCTTCAAGAATGTTAAAAACTGTAAGCATGTTCATATCATAACTTCTTTTGTACTGAAATTACATCATAGCGCCATTGCATAATATGAATTAGCTTGTTTTTTCTGGTTTGTCATCACCAGATATCTCAAACGCTTCTCTGTCCTTGTGCTTACTGAATAGCATAAAGTGGTTCTACTGATTCAGTCTTGTATTCGTTCCTTTTTGCTCTGCATTGTTTACTCAGATGCGCCAAGGTTGCCCAAATCTATGAAACCCGAACTATTCGGCCGGTTTATGAGCCGCAGACTTGCAGTTTCTTTGGGAAAAGGAGTTTAGAAAGCAAACGCTTGCACCCTAACCCCAACCCTAAGGCTCCAGGTACCCATATAGTAGGTACTTAGGCCTTAAAGTACCTATATAGGGACCCCTTTAAGGCCTAAGTACCTACTAAATGGGCACATGGAGCCTTTGGGCAATGTGCACGCCTGCTGCTTACCTTCCGCACCCGAGTTGATGGTAGCCTGTGGGCTCGGTCACCCGGAAGTTGTTCGCTGCTTGGTGTCTTGGCTTAAGCTTTTGTTTAAAGGCTTGCGGCTTCAGGGTTTGCATTTTAGGGTTTACGGTCTTGGGGGTTTAGGGTTGAGGGTCTGGGTGTTAGGATTTTATGGGGTTTGGGGCTTGGGGTTTGCGACTCGGGGTTTAGGTTTTGAGTTGGGGTTCAGGCTTCCCCCACCCCCACCCCCCCCCCCGCAACCCCCAACCCTAACCCCTAAACCCGAAAATTCCCCCCCCCCCAACCCCTACCCTAAGGGTCCAGGTATCTCCTTTGGAGGGTCCGGAATCTCCTAGCTAGAGCCCTTGGGTCTCTTTGGGGTCTCAGAAATCCATGTTTTCAGGTTCCCTAAAGTGTTAGGACCCTTAGGGTAGACCCTAAACCCTAAGCCCGCCAAGTCTTTCTCTGCAGCCGCGAAGTCCCAACTCCTGAAGCTCCAGCCCCCCGAAGCTCCAAAACCCTGCAAACTCCCGCCACAGGCCCCATAGTAGTTCCTTTTTTGGGAATACCTTATAGGATTCTACATATGGGTAGTTGTCAAGTTTAAGGTCCCTTTCTGGGTACCCGAAATGATAGGTGCCTTTTTTATAATAGAGACCCAAAAAGGGATGAACCCCAAAAGGAACTACTATGGGGGCCTCTGGGTACACCCCCCAAGGATGAAGCTTGAATTTTTGTAACCCGTGATGAGTAAACGCCATGCCGAAAGAAGCAGGGTTTGAGGGTTGGGGGTTTAGGGTTTAGGGGTTTAGGGTTTAGGGTTGTTGGGGGTTTCGGACATGGAGGTTCCATGAGATTCCAATCACAAACCACCTTCAACTATGTACCCCCAGAGGTGTGGTGTTTTGATGCCTTAGGTGGAAGCATCTGCGTCGATCGACGAGCCAGATCAGCATGGGCCACTGGGCGGGCTGGCATCTTTTTTTGAAGGGCAATCACGCTGAACTCTAGCCACAGGATACAGGCCAGCATGGTGCGCGAAGCCACTGAGGTGCAGTACTTCTAACTGTCGGCCACCCCTGTGTACCCTACACCCCTCCGTACGCCTGCAATCCTAAAGCCCTACCTTCAGGCTCCTGGACCCTTGTAGTGAGATCTATCCGGACCCTAGCCCCTAGCCCCCAAAGCCGAAACCCTCCCCCAGAAAGCCCGAGACCCTCTTAGGAGCCTTAGGGTAAACCCTAAACCCTTAAATCCCTATACCCTAAAGGAGCCCTAGACGATAAACCCCTAAACCCTAAATCCAGGAGCTTTGGGTAAACCCCAAAGAGCTCAGGAAGACATCACTCCAAGTTGCTGCAGGCGAAGGCCATCTTGAGGCCACTTTGACTGGAAGACTAGGCTTTCTGAGTAGTACACTTTCGCCCTTTTGATTTTAGGGTTCCCTCTCAGGAACCTAGAAGAGTCTGGGATTCAGCGATTTCGAATGTGGAAGGGAACTGGTAGAGGATTGTGGGATGAGGGTCCACGCTTCACTTCGTGGCTGTAGCACTCCACGTATTACTCCCCAACGTAGCACTGACAGCACTTCTGGTGATAGCACGCGCAATGGTGCATGATGCCTCCATAGCACTCGCCGTCAGTATTGCACACTATGTTTATAACGCATGCCTGGCGGTAGTGTTTTTTTAGTGTCGGGCAACAAGTTGACAAGCAGAGTCCCACCTGCCCGATACTCCCCAAAGTGGCCCACATGGGATGGCCAAGTTCCCTCACCCCCGCCAGAACCGACCGGCTTGCCCGCAGATTGTCAGACGCTGGGTCGGTGTAAAAAAGATCTTGTGCCAGGTCGTGCGCTACCTTTGCGAACAAGGTGCGACCAATCCGAAACTCGGGGCTTGAAGTCATGTAGGTTTCGCAGGTACGTGGGGGCTTGTGGATCTTGCCTATGTCATGCCATATACGCTCAAAACCGTAGTTGTGATCGGTTCCTAGAAACAATGCCTGCAAAGCTCAAGAGCTAAACTGTAAAACGTAAGTCAGACAAAGTTGAAAACAAACCTTGAGCTCAAGTACAACCCAGCACAAGCGTCGTTTCCAGTCCTCTAAAGTTCAAACGTCCGGCAGAACTTTCTCGGCCTGTGCGTTTAAGAGCCTGTACCTACAAGCCCAACGTTAGGGCTTACACGGTCTCATGGGTTTCAATCCGAAAGCCCCATTTTAGCTCCGTGCCCTCAACCCCGACTACCCTAAACCCTAAACCCCTAAACTAACCATGCCAGGGGCGGACAAAGAGACCTTCGACCAAAAAGGCCGAACGCCGCTCCACCGAGCAGTGGATGGGGGCCGCCTTGATGTGGCGCGATTCCTCTTGGAGGCCAGTCTATCAATCGCTCCAAGGGTTGGATGAAGGTAGGTGGGGGCAATCAGAAAATACGAGTCCTTTTATAAGGGATGCTTAATCCCACCTACCTTCATCCCACCTTTTGAGGCCTCCTGGTCAAGCTGTCCTTTGTTTAACGGGTAGTGAGCTTTCTGGTCCAGTTTCCAGTTTGCGGGAGAACTTTCGATTCGGGATTTGGGGTTTCGGGTCAAGCTTAAGAGTCGGGCCAGAACGTTAAAACCCTCACCCAGAAGGGCCCACGTGTTTGTATCAGGTTCCAGGGACCTTTACAGTATACTTCTCGGCTTTAGCTCCACCTGAAGCTTCAGTCCCGAAGTTTGAAATGGACTGCCCTTTCGCCTCTTGGGGTTTACGGTTCAGAGCAGAAACAACACACACACACAACAGCAGCAAGGAATGGCCACAGAGCAAGCCGCAAACAAGCAGCAAAAGCAAGAACCGTCAAAGAAACATCAATAATCAGCACCCAGCTTCCAAGCCCCAAGCCCTACAGCTACACCCCTTCACCCTAAACCCCAACCCAAGAAACGCAAACACCAGGTAGCTGAGTCGGCAGCCCTTAACCTTCCGGGATCTACATTGTAATCCCCCCATACTTGAACAGGTTAGCCGGTTTTGGGCTACCCCTAAGCAAAGAGCACAGCTCGCAAATACCAAGATCAAGTCTTGGGCAGTATTAGGGGGGGGCCCTTCTTAAGCCTACTTCTGGCTCTCAAAAAAAGGGCCTTATTGACAAGATCCGTATCCCCAAGGATCCCCTAAGCCTAGCTCCCAGCGTAGGAGGTCGAATTGCGTATTGCATTTACTTTCCCTAAACCCGAAAGCCCTAAACAAAACACCCTGAACCTGATTCCGTAAACCCCAAAGCCCTATAAACCCCATATAATCCTAACTGTATCCCCAAGGTTCCCCTTAATCCTAACGCCCATTATACACCCGACCTTAACCCTGAATAACCTACCTCTTTGGGGCCCCTCATTATGATATCCTTAAATAAGTAATGAAAAAGGTAGGTAATTCGGGGTTAAGGTCAACCCTGAACCCTAAACCGACCGCACCTCTTGCTGTCAGTTGCATGTTTTACTCGCCTGCGTCGCATGGACTCAAGTCATGGCCGTAGAAGAAACTGAAACCCCTAAACCCCCAAAGCCCTAAGCCCCTAACCCCTAAGCCCCTAAACCCCTAAACCTCAAGCCCTTACCCCTAAGCCCCTACAAGGCCCTAAACCCCCCAAGCCCTAGCAACAGTAACTCCTACGGTTGATGATAGAAATCCTGCATTACCTTAAGGACCCTAAACTATGGGAATTATGGTATATACCTTATTATGGGTCATGCAGGATTTTTTTACCTAAACCCTAACCCCCATAGATCCCTTAAAGGAACCCCTTAAAGGCACCATTGTAGATCCCTTTAAAGGAATCAACCGCGCCAAGGCTCGGGCTGACATAGACCAGCCAGACCACCAGGGCAGGACCGGCCGGAGCCTGCAGGGGTCCGGGGATCTTAGGAAGTACCCATACAGATCCCTCATAGACCCCTTTCAAGGAGACCTCTGAAGGAACTCTAAGGAATCGTAGGGGTAAGTATTACCTGGACCCCAAAAGTATGTAGAATACGCCTTTTATGGGTGTTGGGCCATGATTTTACTTACTTTTTTTTGGGGGGGGGTATAGGTAGGCTCCGTAGTGGTTCCTTTTGGGGGTTCATATAGAGAAATGGAAAAAGTGATCCCAAAAAGGAACTACTAAGGAGCCTATGGGTAGTTATGAAGGTTGCTTAAAGGGTTCCTTAAGGGGATCTTTATGGTTTAGGGATGAGGGTTCAGGGTTTTAGGGTTTATAGGGTTTAGTAGTGATGTTTGGACTTATAGGTAGCATATCTCCAGTTAAGGTAGGACCCCTTCAGGGTACTTATAAGCCTACTGATTACAGGTTTACTAAGTCGCCCGACCCTCCAAGTGGAGTTTTCAGGGTTGCGCGCTCCTTTACTGGCCTTGCTTCAAGGGTTCTAGAAGGGTTCTATAAGGGTACTATACGGGTTTAGGGCCTAGGGCTAGGGTTTTAGCCTTTTTGGAGTTTGGGGGTTTGGGGTTGGGGTTTGCAGTTTAGGGTTTGGCAGATTTTGGGGGTTCGGGTTTGGAAAATTGGATTGTCTTTTGGGTTTGGGGCTTTGGGGTTTTGGGGGTTGGGGATGGGGTACGTATGTGTTTTTGAGTTTAGGGTTTAGATATATACTGTTCGGGGTCAGGCCTAAAGTGTAGGGGACCAGGGTTTCGGGCTCAGGGTTTTAGTTTGGCTATTGCCTGCAGACAAAACAAACCAGTACGACTCCAG